TTTACGCCTACGATGCTGAAAAGGTTTGGGTCGAGCCATGGGGCCCCAACGCATTCCGAGTTCGAGCCACCAAAGCCCGTGAGATGCCTACGGAGGACTGGGCTCTGCTGAAACCAGAAGAAACCGATGCCAAGATTACCTTCGATGAGCAGGGTGGCACCATCACCAACGGCAAGATCAAGGCAACCATTACAACAGGTGGAAAGCTTTTAATGTGGAATGACAAAGGGGAACTGATTCTCGAGGAGTACTCAAGGCATCGCCGGGATGTCCTGGACCCCAAGTGCAGTGCCCTTGATGTTGAGGCTCGCGAGTTCATGGCGATTGTTAACAGCAATGACTATCACCTGACCGCCAGATTTGAGAGCGTCGACCCGGACGAGAAGATCTATGGAATGGGTCAGTATCAACAGAGTTTCTTCGACATTAAGGGCCACGATCTGGAACTCGCCCACCGCAACTCCCAGGCCAGTATTCCGTTTGCATTGTCATCGCTCGGCTACGGATTTCTCTGGAACAACCCGTCTGTGGGAAGAGCTATTCTTGGACGAAACATCATGAGTTTCGAGGCCAAGTCCACAAGAGCTCTAGATTACTGGATTGTGACCGGAGACTCACCTTCCAAAATCGTCGAGGCATACGCCGACGCCACCGGAAAGGTTCCAATGATGCCAGAGTATGGTCTAGGGTTTTGGCAATGCAAGTTGCGATATCAGACTCAAAAAGAGCTCCTTGATGTTGCTCGAGAATACAGAAGACGCGAGCTACCGATTGACCTCATCGTGATCGACTACTTTCATTGGCCGAAGCAGGGCGAATGGAAGTTCGACCCAACATACTGGCCCGATCCCGACGCTATGATCAAGGAGCTGCAAGAGCTCAAGATTGAGCTCATGATTTCGATTTGGCCGACAGTCGACCATAAATCCGAGAACTGGGACGAGATGGTCGAGAAGGGATATCTCATCCAGTCTGATAGGGGCATTCGCATAGCCATGAACTTCCAAGGTGACACCACGCATTTCGATGCCACGAATCCAGAGGCGAGAGATTATGTCTGGAAGAAGGCCAAGCAGAATTATTATGACAAGGGCATCCGTGTCTTCTGGTTGGATGAGGCCGAACCAGAGTACACCGTGTACGACTTTGATACCTATCGATATCATGCGGGATCCAATGTTTCCGTCGGCAATATCTATCCCGTCGAGTATGCGCGAGCATTCTACGAAGGAATGGAGGCAGAAGGTCAGCAGAACATCGTCAACCTGATCCGCTGTGCTTGGGCGGGAAGTCAAAAGTACGGCGCACTTGTCTGGAGTGGCGATATTGCTTCTTCGTGGAGCAGTCTGCGAAACCAGGTAGCAGCCGGCCTCCACATGGGTCTTTCCGGGATCCCTTGGTGGACCACGGATATTGGAGGCTTCCACGGTGGTGACCCTCGCGATGAGAAGTTCCGCGAACTGTTCGTTCGTTGGTTCCAATGGGGTGCATTCTGCCCAGTGTTCAGACTTCATGGATGCCGCGAGCCAGAGCAGCCTCAGCATGGTACAACCGGAGGTGCTGAGTGCCATAGTGGTGCGCCGAACGAAGTATGGTCATATGGACCTGAGGTCTATGAGATCTGCAAGAAGTATATGTTCCTTCGCGAGGAGTTGAGAGACTACACAAGGACCTTGATGAAGCAAGCTCATGAGAAAGGAACGCCTGTCATGCGGACTCTGTTTTATGAGTTCCCGGATGATAAAGAAACTTGGAGCATTGGTCAGCAGTACATGTTCGGTGACAAGTACCTGATTTGTCCTGTATTGCACGCCGATAAGAGGAGTATCAAGGTTTACCTGCCCAAGATCGATGGCAAGTGGAAGTCGCTTCAGAAAGGCAAAAACGACGCATACGAGGGTGGTCAGTGGATCGAGGTCGACGCACCCTTGGATTGGATGCCGGTATTCAAGAGAGAGTAGAAACTACTTCCATTCATACCAATTCGTTGAAATCGAGGGAAATTGAAATTTGTCCGTCGGGCTTCGCTTCAAAATGCATCAATTAAACATGCGATCAAACCTAAACCTGACGCTACAGAACGTACTCATCAAATGCCTTGTGATGGCGGACGCCTAGTACAGATGATTTAGAGTTTTCATACCTGGGCGGGTAGTAGGTATAGACGACAAGAGAGACGATAATACGGATAGTAAGAGGAATCTAAATAGAGACGATAAAGAGATCGATAAAAGTAAAGATGATAAGGACAATAGTAATAGCTATCGGAATAACACACTGCGCTCAATAGAAGTAGTCATCCGCCTAAATAGCTAGGAGTATCCGCCCGGATCGCAACACTCGTTACTGATTACGACGATATCAAGTGAGACAGTTCTCAATAATTCAAACATTGGCGATCAAATCAAAGGCCAGATGCGTGGAGTCAAACTCAACCAGCCCAAGTCGCTCGTATGAACGTTCGTTTTGTCTAGACTTTTGCACAAGAATACCACCCCAACACTCCTGGGAGTCTGTATATAACAGAAGGCATTGTACTTCCATCCTACCCGGAGTCACAATCTCTGTAGGCCAAACAAGGTTCTCGAAATGTTTCTTTGAGCCGTGTCTCCAAAAAGACTGACTGCAGTGTGCAAGTGGCTGGGTTGCCGTCGAATTTCCGCGCAAGAGTAGTCGATCTGGTAGATCTAGCATCTTATTCATGAGCCTTCCCCGAAGTAGCAAATTGCAACTGGAGCTAATAATGTAGCGAGAATCGTCGTAAACTTTTGGGCAGTTCACTGCTGAAATTTCGGCATCGACAATACGCCGAGAAGATCCGCGAATCAGACTGTACGTGATCGGACCTTCAACAGATGCCAAACTCCAGGACGGCGCCTGTAGTTCGGTGCCAATTTTTGACATGGGGAAGGAAATAGTTTCATTCCCAGTGGAATCGATATCACCCTTACCAAAATAGCGCCGAAGAAGTCCTGGGAGTATTTCCACTTCCCAAATTCCGGCTAAGCATCGGTCTTCGCTACGATCCAGAATGTGTGTGGCCATGGCTAGGATGGCCAGAAGCCGGTCCTTTTTGAAAGAGATTTTCGAAAGAGAGAGACCTGGTAGTGAGCTGCTCGACTATGGACGTGTACCAGGAATCAATCCAATGCGAGTGGCTGACGAAAGGATTCATGATGTTGCGTTCGTACGCTTTCCGGTCGGGACAGTTGCCATAAGTCTCATTGCGACCTCATTCACACCATGACGCCGAACGACACTCCCATGTGACTTCGGAATGTCTGAAAGTTAGGAGCCGTCGAGGGACTAGCCGCTCCTGAAAACACCACGCTCGCGACCAAATGGGTTCTTGATTGTTATTGCATTTGTGCCGAATTCTTCCACGGGACGAGATGCCCATTGTGCATGATGGGATAGATGACATTCTGGTCTCTCCTTGAGGAAACCCTCCTCGTCGGCCCGTGCCGTAGCCGCAGTGACAATGAAATAAGAATTCTCGCAGATGCTCGCCCTTGCTGCCGACTCAACTCGCCAATCTTGCTCATCATCTTGAACGATGCAAAGCGAGTCAATCCACAGGTAGCATACTTCTAATTGCCGGCATACAGTAATGGCGTCTTGGAACGTTTTTGGCATGTCGTCCTATGGAATTCCACCCCTTCGCATGGCGACATTGCTTTTTTTTTGTGACACATATCTGTTGCTTGCCCCATCGATGGCTTAAAGCGACGTATCGCTCGGTCTCGCCGTTCGTTTCCAAGAGACGAAGGCAGCGTTTCGATTTCGCCAAGATAAAGAACTCTGCGCGGAAGCGGCGTAACATCAGTAGCTCGGCAGGCCGTTCCTTTATGTCCCTCGTCACAATATTCACTCCAATAGGCGACAAGATCAATGCACTAATGAGAGTCAGGAGATTTCGACAATGGAAGAAGATGTCCGATCTGCAAACTATCCGTCAATTTCGGCGGGCCAAAAAGCTCCAGGTTTGGTCGAATCAGAATGGGATTGTTTCCACCAGCTTTGACGTGATATGTATCTCGCTGAAAATCCGTCGAAAACCGCCGTTCTTGTGTGATGGCTAACCGCAGAATCGTAGCAAGTAGACATGTGATTAGACTAGAATCTCGATTATTGAATGGTCGATACTCCTTGTAGTTGAAGGTTTTTCCATTGAAATGTCTGCCGGGAAGGCTGTGCACCCATTATTGTGTGATTTTGCTATTCTTGAGCACTTGATCTTTCCCTCCTAACTTTTCTTCTTCGCAGTTTGCCGCCTGGAGGCGCACCTTATTAACTACTATATAACTCTCATAGGGAAATATTTGAGGGCTAGGATAGTAGAGCAATCTCTATAGCTACCTATAGGGGTATATAAAGAGAGCGTAAATTACCTCGATTATAGGGGGTAAGCATCTCCCTCTTCACGCTGCTATAACCTATTACTCCTTTAATGTTAAGATGCCGTCACTATATTATGTTGATACTATCTATTGCCGCCTCGAGAGTAGCGATAGTTATGCCTCGGCTTCAAAATGTATCGTTTGGTTGAGGTATGCTAGTAGAAGGTAGCGGTGTATTTGGTACGCTGTTAAGCCTTGCGCCAGGGGACTAGGTCGTGTGCGCAAAAATCTGCAAACTTTATGCTGGTTGTTTTGGGCGATTGTGAGAAGGCTATCGCTGCTCTCTCTTGAGCACTTGATGTTGTGTGATTACAAGATGACTGTTTCTCGATTGAGCTCAGTTGCATCGCATGTGCTTCGAAGGTGTGCTAAACCGGCCGACATGCATCACTAGTAAATCCGTTTCGTGGAGGCGTGCGAAGTTCCCCGAAACCATGATTCGTCACATTATTTCCATTTTAACTGCGTACAAAAGAAGCTAGCCTAATTCGGGCTGCTCTTGATGATTCACGCGTCAGGCAAGACGCGTTTGGTAACTAGTTTTTCTCAATTAGGACTGAGATGAAGCTCCCAACCGGCGTTCCTCATCCAAATAGGCTCTTACTTGAGCTTCCAAGTTTCCTTGACGAGGTCGGCAGCCTTTTCACCAATGCCGTAGGCCGGCATCTGCGTGTGGCCACCGTTGAGGGTTGGCATGATACTGCAATCAGCTACACGTAAGCCTTTGACTCCCTTCACAGTGAGGGTATGGTCCACAACAGCCTTCGGGTCGTCTGCCTTGCCCATTGCGCAAGTACCAGCAGCGTGGTAGCCTAGTTCGTGATCTTAGCAATCATTCAAGGATGTTAGGTAACGGATGGAGAGCTCACAGGTGGTTGCGTTGTCTTTCACGTAAGGAATCCACTCCTCACGAGTCGTGTACTTGTGGTGTACAAGTTCGCTTGGCCAAGAACCCTTGACGATACCCTTGGTACCCTTGCCTTGCATGATGATCTCATTACCAAATCGGCACGCCTCGGCGAGGACCTCGACATCAAGAGGGTCGGCAAGATAGTTGGTATCGACAACAGGGACCGCGGTGGCATCAGTGCTGCGAAGGGCCACAGTGCCCCGAGACTTGGGGGCAAAGAGCTCGGCGATCATGCTGAAGGCATGCTTGTTGTCGACGGGAAACTTATCAAACTGCTTGGGTCCACCGTAGCATTCGGTGGTGAAGAACTCAATGTTGGGTTGCTTCGGCGTGAGACCCATCGGGTCACGTCCCTCTTCGCGAGGGGCGTTCTTCCACAAGTCCGAATCGGCGAGACGGTCATCTAAGCGGGCGTACGCAAAAGCACCGAAGGGAAAGGTCGACAGAAAGCCTGCCTTATGGTCCTTCCAGAGAGCATATGTCTTCGCAAAGTTATCGCCGTGGTAAACATGATGGTCGTTGGTCAGGCCCTCCTTTTCAGTCTCGTAGAACATGAAAACGATCTTGATGCTCCTGTAAGCAAAAGGTTTGACACATGTGTGAAGAAGGTAGACTCACAAGATGATCCATCAAATTCTTACCGACACCGGGCAAGTCAACCAAAGTCTGAATGCCGAACTTCTCCAGCTCAGACTTGGCACCAATGCCAGAGCGATTCAGGATATTGGGACTGCAGTAGGCACCGCCGCTCACAATGATCTCTTTGGTTGCTTTGATGTTGACGGGGGATCCGTCGGGCTTGACTGCACGGACGCCAGTGGCCTTGAGCTCCCCGTTGACGTTCTCGATGATAACCTTGTCAACGTGTGTCTGAGTCATGAGATGCAGATTATCCCTCGTGTTGGCGTTTGTAACGAAGTTGGCTGCAGTCGTGCGAGTTCCCTTGTACACTGTTCTCGGCGCATGGCCACATCCATGAGGGTTGTTTCCATGGGTGAACATGTCGTGATCAAGTGGGAGTCCCTTGTCAACCATGGAGTCCATGATAAGGTTGGAGATGGGAGCGAGATCGTGCGGCTCGATGTCGAGGTGGCCTTCGGTGCCATGGTCGGAAGACGCCTTGAACCAATCCTTTCCGTGGAAGTTCTCGGCCTGCGCAAATTGCATGTTAGAAATGCGAACGAATAATGAGGAGAGCGGAGCAATCAAAGGGTCCGGGATTTACATACCTTGCGGATATACTTGAAAAAGTCTTCGCCACTCCAGCCCTCAGCGCCCCAGTCATCGTAGTCCTGCTTGGCGCCTCGAATGCATAGAGTACCATTACATCCTGAGCAACCACCGAGGAACTTGCCCCGACTTAGCTTCACTTGTCTGTTATTAACTGCAGCCTTGGGTTCGCTGACGACGTTCCAGTCGGTCTCCTTGTCGAAAAGTTGGGACCAACTAGAACGCGAAGCAGAGCTTGTGAGCATTGAACGATAAAGTGAGTTGCAATTGCAGTGTTTTGACTCACCCCCCTGTCATATGAACATTCTCCAAGTCCTTGTTGTGTTCGCCAGCCTCAATGACAAGAACGCTGGTGTTGGGGTTCTCGGCAAGTCGGCTAGCTACAACGCAACCAGAAGTGCCGCCACTAGAAAACAGAGACAGCCAGGTCAGTTTCCGAGGAGCCCCCAATATTTGTGTTCAGTCCAAGTGCCAAGGACCTACCCGCAAATGACGAAGTCGTAAACGAGATCTTGAGGAATAGAACCCATGTTGAAAGCTCAGGACTAAAGTCGGGATAATTTCAAGAGAATTTGCGAGAAAGCTTAGACAGTGACGAGAAAAACGACCGATGCACACCTTCGAGTGGCTAGGTCGCGGATTCTTGTATGCACCCTCTCACGCAATGTCTTAGACCCGCGTCCGATTCTCGCTTTCTCCTCTCGCACGTATCAACCTCAACTCCCCCTCATCTGACATGCACCAACCTGCTATCTACCCCTTGAGTATGCTGAACTTGCCCTCATACGACTGGGGAAAGCTACGCCGTTGCCAAGTGATGCCCATCTTCTCCAAAAGGAAACTGAACCGCTTCAATGGCCGGTGGTTTCGGTGTTAATGGCCGCAACCTGCAGGGTCTGGCAGAACCATCTCCACCACGGCTGGGCCGATGTCTGGGGTCCCCGCACACGCAAAACAGCTTTAACCACTGTTGGTGCTAGGATTGCGTGTGTCTTCAGCGACCGTCGTGCATGAGAGCACCCACAGAAGTAATGCAGCAACCGGAAGCAACTCCGGGGTCGATCCTCTGAAGAATATGCACGAACTAAGCCCATTGTGAATATCCCAAGACCTTTTGTACAGCGCCAACGACGCTTCGACATGGAAACTGTCCGGCTCTATGCCGGGTTTCGCTGGGCGACAAACTACCGACCGACGATCATCATTAGTGAGACTTCATGAACCAATGGGAATGCTGGTTGCAAGGCATCGCAGGATGCAACTTCTAGGGCAGTCAAAATCTCTCACATTCACAGCCCAGAATGCGACAGTTACAGAAGTTGCCCCTGGTCTAGAACGAAGCGAAGGCAAAAAGGGGATCGGGAGGCTCTGAATATGATCCTTCTCAGCCGTGGTTGAAAGGTTCTTCGTCGTACGAAGGCTTGCCTCCTTCCTCTTTCAATAGGGATGAGGCGTACCAAGCTTCCTCAAGACCGTTCAGGTTGCATCCTGCCATCGAATGCTCCGATACTGCAGGTCATGATCATAATTCGTAATTGGCATCGAACCATTAGGGTGAATCAATGCAACATTGTCGTTCTAGAAGACCCTCAATACTCAACAGCAGTTTCCTTGGTGATATTCCAGCGTTCTCACAACATGAAAGTGAACGCGAGCAACTCGCACAGAAATGCATCCAAGAGTCGTGCTTTTTGAGTTGTGGAGACAAGTTGACCATTGGAGCCCGAGAACTTCCGTCAAGGCCTGGGGTGCCTTTCTCCCCCGTGGGAAATCTGGAACGAGCAGAATTATGAAGCTCGGGATATGGGGCCGGACGGGAGTGGCGCCCACATCACTTCTAATTTTGACTGACTGTTCCCTTTCGCCGACCGACTGTGGGCCGTCTCCATCTGTGTTTACGCGACGAATCTGATAAGGGGGGTTGAAGAGATCAGGGATTTCCCACAAGAGGAACCAAATCCGCGTCTGCATTCAGCTTTGACAGCATCGCCAACCGGACAACTGGAAGATGAAAATGTTGACCCATTTTACGGAAATTGTGAGCAATTGTCATGCGTGACTGTGAGACCTGCGGCTGATGGAGAATGCACTCGTACCCTTCATGGCCTGTAATATTTCGTAATATGGAGCGAGACCCCTGCTGGCAAGGCCATGCCCTTGGGGGTCTATCTTGGCGATAATACCCTCGACCATTCAATTGCTTCCGTTTGGTCTGAGAAATTTTTCAAGTGGTCCTGCGGATCACCGCTCTGGCGGATGCTACGTTGTGTTGGACCAAAGACGCACGGAGACTGGGCCCTTTTCACCTTCAGCACACGGATACCTAGTACTAATGGGTTGGAATTGAAGAGTCCAAATGGATAACATTGCTTGGCTAACATTAGCCCAGCCTATCTGATTCGTTGTGAATAGTGATGATCAGTGCGAGCTCAGACCTACCGGTGAGCCGCCAGGGAATTGTGAATGTTCAAGTCAACGGTCATATCCTTGAGAGACCAGGAGAGCTGTCCAGATCTGGAAATGCTCAGTGGGCGCAGGAAATGCGCTATGCCTGGGATATGTGCAGAACAGGGACTTCATTGCTGCGCGATGCTCATACAGTCACCGCCGAGCTTTGGCTTATCTCGCCGCAGGAGCCAACATGAACAGCTGGCCGATTCATATTCCATGCCGGCACGTGGTTATCGGCTGGAAGGAATATCGCGGCGGCCCGATTCTGTGCCAAGAGAGTACATTGATGCCTTGATTCCCTGGGAGCCTGATTAGAACGATTTCCCCGTCGATCGCTGCCTGCCCAAACAGGAGAGGGCATTGTCAATTGTGACTTGCCGGAACTCCGGATCCAAGGATTGTCCTTCTCAGTAACACCCGCTGAAGACGTTATGTCGTTTCGGGGGCTACTCCCCTGTCAATCACACACAGGGGAAGCAGACTCGATCCTCATCCAGATGGCGAGAAAACGTTGTACGTAAACACATTTTGATCGAAGGAATGCGGCTTTTAATCCGAGGCGCCCCGAAAACTCCCACCGGCCTTGTGTCAGTTATTTTGGTGGTTCTGATGGCTTTTGAGGGTGTTTTGCTTGGCTGGCCTCTTCACTCCTTTCGTGTCTTTTTCCTCTTTCACAATGGCGACTCCCTTCCAGACTGAGGCCTGGACAGAGTACGGTCTTGGTGTAATTGTGATTTTACTTCGAATATTCGCTCGCTGGAGAATAATCGGCTTCAATTGGCAAGGGGATGACTATTTTGCAGTTCTGTGCTTGATTTTCTGGACTGTAAGTCACACCAATCATATTCCAGACGTCTTGGACAGATTGCTTACCTTAACTCTATCTTGTAGTTAGAACTGTGTATGCTGGAGCTCATCGGTTGGTCGGTCCCTTCCCTTCAATTGTTCAGTTCGACGTCTAATTTGTGCCCCTTCAACAGGTCAAAATGGAACCAATATTGGGATCACCGACGAAATCGGCGCGACCCTGACACCCCAAGAAATCGCCAAGTTCGAATTTGGCTCGAAGTGCCTGCTGGCGGGATGGAACTTCTACGTTACTCTGATTTGGTGCTTGAAGGCTTGCATTCTCTTCTTTTTCAGCCGCATCACGTACGTCCTTCCTCCGTCCTTACCACCTACTCTATAAGGAGTCGAGCTGAACATGGCTATTTACACAGACTTGCGACAAGACAACAAAAGATCGTAAAATGGACTGCTATCGCGACCATTTTAGCGTATTGCGGCGTAATCGTTGTTATCTGGGGGCATTGTACACCCGTGCAAAGAAACTGGCAGGTTGTACCATACCCAGGAGACGAGTGCACTTTGGCCGTTCCAAACTACTTGAGTTTGGTTGTTCTCAATGTAACGTAAGTTCTGTTGCTTTTAAGACTAATTCGTGGGAAGGTTTTGGGGCTAATGATTGTTCAAGGACTGATATGTGCATTGTTTCAATTCCATTGCCTCTTCTATGGACGGTGAAGCTCAGTATCAAACGCAAACTCGCCATTGGTGTCCTACTGTGCTCGGGAGTTTTCGTCATGATCGCTGCCTTGCTACGCTGCATTCTGTCGTTGAAAGATATTGACGGGATCAATGTCAGCACCATCTGGGCCATCCGAGAAACTGTAAGCAACATCTATCCTTTGGAACCCCGAAAAGTACTGACTTTTTGTTCCCTGCCAGTTTGTTGGCATTATCGCCGTGAACGCAGCTTGCATCAGACCTCTTTTCTCTTCGGCTCACTGGCTCAGCTCGAGCAAGGGCAGCAGCAGCGGGGCCATGAAGTACACCGGATCAGGTGATAGATATGGTCACCAGTTGGTCACGATTGGAGGTGGCGGCCAGAGCACCGACCGCTCTATGCCTGCAAAGAGAAGGCACAACAAGTACAACATGACCGAGTTCGATAACAACTCAAGCGAAGAACATATTGTCAAGTCTTCCGAATCCGCCAACTGGCCTCAGGCTAGCGGTGACCGCGACGGAAGCTTGACAAGTAAGTCTAGTGGTCAGCATGGTGGAATCATGGTCACAACTACGTACGAGGTAAAGCCGGCAGAAAGCCAACGATGAGTGTGTGACAGATCATTTCATCTATGGCGAGGCTGAGTTTCCGTAACGAAGAGGATCCGACGGGAGAAACCGAAGGCAGGTAGCTTACGTCCTTATAATCAAGCTAAGAGCTAGCTATTATATCTTTCATTAATACTCATTTGCGATTCCCACCAAAACAGAATCAGTCATTCAACGTGCATCCTACGTTGGTGTTCACTTAAGTCTTCCACGTGCTGCTTGATGACATCGTAGCGTATTATTGACGTTCGGGAGATTGCCGAATACGATTGTTTACACGAGTTGCTGACCCTTGTTGTACCTGCATATTGACGCTGTTTATATGTTCGCTTTGATTGGCACGGGAGTGAATGACAGGCGAATATTACCCTTCTGAGATCGAATCTGAAGGATGACTCGCAGGCTGCATTTAGCCGGCGGGGTGTCCAAGTAATTAGACTTGATGGACGGTTGACGACCCTATCCTGCAAGCCATTTTGAGAATCGTCCTTTGTTTCTCCACGAATGTGAAGTAGACTTTGTTGCCCAGTGTAGGGCGTCGGGGATGGGCGCAGACATACCTACCCCACACACTTCGTCTTCCCCGCAATGCCACCACTACTCAATGCATCACGAGCGTCGGATTTTGACCAGCAATCAGAATGGAGCTGCAAGGTGTGCATGACAGGCGGAAGTGCAGTGTCATCAGAGGTAGTCGACTTACAAGCGAAATCTATAAAATGAGACTGATGCCTTGAAAGGTCTATCGAGGGAGTTAGTCGTCGATTAAGCTTGGATTTCGAAACTTCCATAGTCACACAAAAGACAATGACGCTTGCACATGCCTTGTTTATTGCAGCATTGCTTGCCACCGCAAGCAACGCCACACCCTCCTTTGATGGAAGTCGTTACCTCTGGTTCACAAAACCAACAACAGAATGGGAACAGGGCGCTCTTCCGATCGGCAATGGACGACTCGGGGGAACTGTTTGGTGCGAACGAAACCCTCACCATCAACGAAGATACCATCTGGTCCGGTCCTATCCAAGACCGAACTCCTCCCAACGCCTTGGCGACCCTACCTGTGGCTCGTAAGCTGTTTCTCTCTGGCAAAATTACCGAAGGCGGCCAGCTTGTGTTGAGGAAGATGACCCCGGCCGAGAAATCCGAACGTCAGTTTGGATATTTCGGCAATTTGGATCTTGACTTCGGGCACAGCGGTAACTTGGAGAACTACGTGAGGTGGCTTGACACAAAGCTGGGTAACTCGGGCTCCTCGTACGCTTTCGACGGAGTTAACTTCACGTGTGTATAGTCTTTTCCGCGTATTGAATACTCTCTCTAACGATTTTGAATGATAGGCGGGAATTCATCGCGAGCTATCCAGCTGGGGTGCTCGCCGCTCGTTTCACTTCCAGTGAGGAAGGTGCTCTCAACCTCAAGGCTAGCTTCAGTCGACTGGCAAACATTTTGGTCAATGTTGCATCCACTGCAGGCGGCGTCAACTCAGTGATCTTAATGGGCTCTAGCGGACAGCCTCTTGATGAAAACCCAATTTTGTTTACTGGTCAGGCTCGTTTCGTGGCACCGGGAGGTATGCAGAGCCCCTAAGCTACAGTACCCGCTCGTTCTGATTTGAAGTAGCGAAGTTCGAAAACGATGGTTCCGTTCTCAGGATCACGGGAGCTACGGCCATTGACCTGTTCTTCGACGCAGAGACTAATTACCGCTTCGCGTCTCAGGACAAATGGGAGGCTGAGATTGATCGCAAGTTGAACGCTGCACTGACCAAGGTTCATTCAGACTTAGGGATGAAGCCCTCAAAGACCCCAGCAGCCTTCTTGGACGGGCCTCGATTGATCTTGGCAAATCACCGCGAGGACTTTCTGCGTTACCCACGGATGAGAGAGTGGCCATAGCCCGGAACGATTCAAGTGATGTTGAGCTGTCGACTCTCACTTGGAATCTCGGCCGCCACATGCTCGTTGGAGCCTCACGAAACACCGAAGCCGACATAGATATGCCCGCGAATCTCCAGGGCATCTGGAACAACAAAACCACGGCTGCTTGGGGCGGAAAGTATACTATCAATATCAACACCGAGATGAATTACTGGTCTGCCGGTCCAACGAATCTGATCGAGACACAAGAACCTTTGTTTGACTTGATGAAAGTGGCCAACCCAAGAGGCAAAGCCATGGCGAAGGCCATGTATGGCTGTGACGGCACAATGTTTCACCACAATCTGGACGTTTGGGGCGACCCGGGTGCAACTGACAACTACACATCTTCTACCATGTGGCCCATGGGCGCCGCATGGCTTGTACAGCATATGGTGGATCATTACCACTTCACGGGTGACAAGACATTCTTAGCAGACGTTGCCTATCCCTTCTTAATCGACGTGGCTACGTTCTATGAGTGTTATGCCTTTGAACACGAGGGTTACCGTATCACAGGTCCTTCGCTGTCACCAGAGAACAATTTTGTCGTCCCGAGCAACTTCAGCGTGGCTGGTCGCTCGGAGCCAATGGACATCGACATACCCATGGACAATCAGCTCATGCACGACGTTTTTAGTGCAATCATCGAGGCGGCGAACATCTTGTGAATCGATGATACCAACCAAGACCTGAAGAAGGCTCAAGATTTCTTGCCTCGCATCAAGCCTGCGCAGATTGGTCCCAAGGGCCAGATCCTCGAATGGCGCTATGAATACAAAGAATCGGCGCCTAGTCACCGTCATCTTTCACCTTTATACGCTCTGCATCCTGGGAAAGAATTCTCACCATTGGTCAACGAAACGCTGTCCGAGGCCGCTCAGGTTCTACTTGACCGTCGCAGGGATGCGGGATCAGGAAGCACAGGGTGGAGTCGCACATGGATGATCAACATGTACGCACGATCGTTCAGGGGAGCGGATGCATGGGAGCAGGTGAAGGGTTGGTTCGCTACATTTCCCACCGCGAACCTATGGAACACAGATAAGGGATCGACATTCCATATTGACGGAAACTACGGTTTCACAAGCGGTATCACGGAAATGTTGCTTCGAAGCCACACGGGTACTGTGCATATTCTTCCTGCCTTACCAGGTGAAGCCGTGCCAACGGGCAGTGCAAAGGGATTGGTCGCATGAGGCAACTTTGTTATTGATGTCGAATGGGAGAATGGTGCCTTCAAGAGAGCAGGTATTACATCGAAAATTGGAGGTAAGCTGAATCTTCGGGTTGGAAATGCTGAGAGTGTTCTTGTCGATGGAGATATGTACACTGCTGGAATCAGGACGACTGAAGGGCAGGTTTTGGAGATTTCGCCAGCGTGAACTTATTTGTGTATGCCAGATTCCACTAATTAAGTGGTATTGCGCTTTTTGTATGTTCTGATACGATGTAGCAAGCCTTAGAGCTCTAGGTTGTGGAGGTCGTTTCCCCAAAGGCAGGAGTAAATGGTCAATTTAATGCTCTTCCCTCTTGGCAAACTATATATTCGTTCATCAGGCAGACAGTGACTAAGACATAGCTTTGAAGAGTAATTCATAATACGGACATTCGATCAGTTTAATTAGATGACGCGCTGCCAACCCTGTCTAACCCTGTCATGGAAGCGTTATGATAGATCCAAGATCGGACGTGAACGTTTAAGTGTATGAATGATTTATGAGAGAGGTTCTATATGTGCTCCTCGCTAGGCTAGTTCAAGTTAGGTGTACATGCTTCAGCAGCGTTCTACCTACCGTCTTCGACGTTCTTGCCGCAACAGCAACAGTGACTTTGCCTACGACAGAGAAATTCAAGGCACCCGCAAATTCAGGTTCCATGAGAGCCTTTTGGACGTAATTCCGCCTGTCTACTCCCTGATGTTCCGACCGTCACATTTGAGGAGCTGCATAACGCGACCAACCAACAAAGTCAGTCGCAGCATGGGGAATGCGGCAGCAATGCCATTCTAGGTCTCGTCGCATGCCAGCTTGTGGTAGTTTTCCGACTCTGTTGTGTGTTGAAATTCCCTGGAAAGCTTCAAATTGACCATTGTAGCTCCCAAAATGTCCGGGGCTGTGTCAACTGTATCTGCAAACCAGTTTGACTCGGCATCTCCATATGCGCTGCTATTCAAAGCTGATTTTTGGAACCGAATATCGACTATGCTTGAGGTTCCCAGAAAACTTCCCACAGGGAGCGTCTTAATTTCGACGTATTTGTCTCTTGTATCAATGGAGAGTAGAACCCCAGCTTTGGCTGACGCTGTTCTTGCAAAAGGCGTTGCTTCAATCACACGACGGCCCGTTCTGTTGGCTGGCACAAACATATCTATAGAATGGGTTTTCAGTCCTCTTGTGTGACAAAGATGAATCGGGACTCCTGGATAAGGACACCTGATAAATAGACCTGTGGATGGATTCCCTGACAGTAACACACCTGTATCTTCGTTTTTGTTTATGGTGTCAACATTGAAATTGCCGATACATGATGACCAACATAGCGTTCGAAGTTGAATCGATAGCTCCGCGTTCGTCGTGCTGTATGGCTGTGGCCTATTGTTTTCTCGAGGGGTGAATTGAGATGCTTCTTCGAAGGCATGTGGGCGAGACGCGAGTAGACTCCCCGTACCAGAAAATGCAGACCAAGACCAGCAGAACAAAGAATGATCGTCCGAAACCTTCAGAATCTCTTCTTGCAGTCTCATGAAAGCCCGAGACCCCTCCCCGTATATCAGAGGCATAGATATGCTGAAAATTCCAAGCATGCAATATGCCATATCCTCAAGTCTAATAGTTTCGTGGCGAGCCAGCCATGAAAGTCTTTCACCAACGGATGCTTGGAGATTTGGATGAATCTGGTCATTCTCCCACCGATCTTGCCACATCGTAGACGTGATTGACTTTGAATTGAAATGTTTGAGGTCGATGCCTGTAGCCGAAGAAATGTGATGTGCAAGAGATGACATTGTGCCAATGAGCGACCAATCGGCTGCGTAGAACAAAACCTCTTTGGGAGCCAAAAGCTCTTGCAAAGTCCAGCCTTTAGTGAACCATCGGCTACAGGAAATACCCTCTGCGTCGAAGTTTTGCCCAGATGTTGGTATGCCGGAGAGATACGCAAAGCACACTCCTGAATGGAAGTACCAAGAAAACATTGAGTTGATGGCTTCGGTGAGCTCCGATGAGCTGCTTTTATCGATACAATTCGTGTCCACCCACAGGAAGTTATATTCTGCACCACGTGCTTGGGCGCATGCATCCAAAATCTTCTGGTATCCTTGTTTTTGGGAGGCTAGAGATCGGTCGGTCCAATCCTGAAATGTCACTTCCCCGCAGCTCCAAGCATGCGACAAGATGGCGTAGTTAAGAGTATCGCTGCCGAGGAATTCCTCGAGTTCCAGAGTTTGCCGATTGATACGCCACATAATATCGGAGGTATTCCGTCCGCCAAAATTCCAATTGTAATCGAGCGTATGCTGATGCAGATCAATAGCGGCGACTATCGCGATGATGGCCAATGAATATCAAGTGAGGGTGAGAATTGATTCCTGTCGGTGGATGAAGCATCAGACGTCAGACCAACCGCGTCGGAGACGACCCCTCCTTGGGGCTCCATTGATCCTTTAACGCAAGATAGCGGGGTCCATCCAGACAAAAACAGCCTGACAGTAATATGTCTTGCCTCGACGGAAACATCCATCCGCCGACATGAAGCCGTCACTATCTATTCTGATGGAATTAGTAGCTTTTGATGTACTACATTGTAGTCGATTGCATCTCACGGGACCTGAAATTTCCGACTGCACATGTTGAATTGCCATTGGAAGACCGAATGAGAGCTCTCAAATCCGCAGTAACGGCCGCCAAATATTGAGTCAAGAAGCACGCAAATTGATGATGTTCATCGTCCGAGCTCCGGCGATCCGGCCCGTAGCCCTGTTCGCTCCGACGATGACTTGACAGGGGCCCCTAGTATCCAAAGGCATCGCCTGTTGAAACAGTTGCTTGGGGCTCGGGGCTCAATGAGATTGTCAATAAAGTTGAGACAGCTTGATGCTAGGTAGAATTTCTCCCCTGTGCCTATGAGATACAATGCAGCAGAGCTGGTGTTATCCGGCCTGCCAGGCACATGCGCCTGGAAGGAACTATTACCATCTCGTGCATCCCGCCGGGAACTCTGGGCCACGATGTGCGCACATGAATCCTACTGGGACGCACCAGATTTGAAATGTGCAATACTGTGCAAATGAACTGCCAATACTTCAGACACTGCAATACTTCTCAATTGAGAATAAGCCAAGTACTTTGCATTAAGGGAACCTACAGCCGTTGGCTGTGTGCTGTTACGGCAATGGTGCCCCTTTTCCAGACCGCATAACATTCATCAGCCGACATCCACAATTGCTTACCTGCCTCGTATCGAGAGTCAGCCTAGCAACTAAGCTCGTGCGAGTCCCACTCTAGATCCCTGCGAATGATACCAACCCACGATTACTTTGCTATTTTCGAGGGTCAACACCGACGAAACCCACAATAACTGCTTATCGGTTCGCCCGGACAAGCAGCATCAGGGGAGAGTTGTACTTACTCGATGCAACAATGGACCGATGGGTTATCCCCATGGTCCACCTTCAGCCTCCGGTTTGAAATAAGACTCCGATTTCCCCGGAATCAATCTTTCGCATCTTTTGGTCCCAACGATCTCATCGTCCACGACCAGTCACTCGTTTTTTTCCGACGGCAACCAACCAGACGGTAATAATACTCATAATATTAATCAGTCAATATGTTGTCACCAAAGGCCATCACCACCCTGTTCAACTTCATCCTGTTGGCCTCCGCGGCCCCCGGAAAGCGTCAATCCACCGGCTCCGGATCCTGCACCGATCTTCACCTCTTCTTCGCTCGTGGCTGGAACGAGGGCTACCCTGGACGCCAACAGTCTCTTTATGAGGCTACCTGCACCGGTCTTTCCAGCTGTGACTACGAAGACATCCTTTTCGATGCGTCAAACCCCTCGGGTTACCCTAATGCGGTTGAGGAGGGCCGAACCTCCGGCGTTGCCCAGATCAAGGCCTACGTTGCGAAGTGCCCCGATTCCAAGATTGTCCTGAGTGGCTACAGCGAAGGTGCCAATATTGTTGGCGACATTCTCGCTGATTCGGGCCTCGATGCCACTTCCACGCCCGGCAGCAAGGGTAAGTTTGTTGGAACAATGTTCTAAGAAGTCGGTTGCTAATCCGTCCCAGTTTGCGCTGCACTCCTTTTCGGTGACCCAACCCACATTGCCGACCAAAGCTACAACGTCGAAGCCGGATCTACCTACAGCGGCCAAATGGCTCGCTCTAGCTCGTCCCTCGCCAACCTGAACAACTTTTCCAGTGTCCTGCGCTCTTGGTGCAACGGCGAGGACACCGTCTGTGCCTATGGCGACGGTACTCGCACGATGGGCGAGGATGCCCACACCAACTACTTCCAGCTGTACACAAATGATGGCGCCGCCTACATCAAGGAGAAGTGCGTTCCCTCCGGAACCACCCCGACCGCGACCGCGACATCCAGCATTCCCGCCCCGACTTCTACCGGTTCCTACTGCACTTCCGGCAAGGTCAAGTCCGGCCTATCGGAGAACTACAGCGGCCTCTGTGCCTTCGCTTGCTCCAACGGATACTGCCCTGACGGTGTCTGTGAGTGTGCCTCTTTCGGCGAGCAGACCACCAGCCCGGGTGGCGATGGACGGGACGGATGCCCCGCCACCGGACTTGACGACAGCTACAAGGGACTTTGCAGCTTCAGCTGCAGCCACGGATACTGCCCTACAGGCGCTTGCGAGTATTGTTAAACGTTCGGAATTGAGTGAATGACGGTGTGATGGAACGGTACGCATTACGAATTTGAGACTGAGAGTTTGAGGAAATTAAACCAAATGGGAGCACTCTTCGTCATGTAGACTGTTTCGAAATTTGAAGAACGTAATGACTCCCTAGCACATTGACAGAAACACCCCGTGAAGTCTTCCTCCGTAGAATTAGGTGAACGGAGTGTTGAGCAGCAAAGTGCTTCTTTGCCATTGAATTCGTGCGTAATGTAAACAATGCAAAGTGACTTTTGGAATCTAGCCCACCTATCGACGACGCATTGCCCGTGCGGCTCCACGACGGACTGGGCCACCTTTTTTGCCAATTCGTTGCAGATGTTTGCGATGAAAAAAACCACTCCAGCGTTGCGATGCTGCGCATCTCAATGATCAATTTCTAATGATAGAGCGGGAAGCAGGTTTCGCGTAATCCAGGAAATCATTTCAATGATCCTCATTGCGTCAGACCAATTGGAGGTTCCGGTCTTTGTGATGGTCGTGATCTACCCGTCTCCCCGGGACTCCCGGCACAACCACCCGGGCTGTCTCGCTGGATCGGAGTGACGAAGGCCCGGGCGTACGCACAGGCGCAGGGAAGGTCTTCCTGATCAGTGAAAATTTTACGCCAACCTGCCAAGAATTGTACAGATATCAACCACAGCTGGAGCCCCGCCAGCTGGCAATTGAATGAGCTCGAGCGAAGATGCAGAGCGGTGGCTGAAAAGCTCTGCACCAAGTGGAGAGGAAACAGCACTACATGGAAGATGGGACCGCGGCAGTCAAGTGTGGGGGTTTGAAATCCTATGGTATTCCCGGGAGTCAGCGGTGCTTGCTTGCAGTGTTTGCTTGGATGGATGTGGACATAGGTCTTGCTGAGAGCGTGACAGCCCCGTGTGAATGAAAACTAATATGGAAGAGATGCCATGTCAGAATGCATTGACACGCGTGTGTTGAAATCCTCTCGAGCTTGATAGGCAAACAGTTCGTTGGGCTGGTCATGAGCCAACTGATGCTCATAATGACGGCACGCCAGCTGCAAGAAATTCTGTGCGTCCTGGTGTGTGGAGCCGAGATGCCGGCTGGATCCCATGACCAGCAAACTTCGGTCGCAAAAAGCGGGATCCCGATCTTGTCGTTCATGGCGGCTCAACCAGGCGGGCACGTTTCAAGCTGCAAACCCAGGACAGCCTGGTGACAACAAACACTTGGTTCAGCGCGGCGCGCTCTGTTACTTCAGTTGACGTCAGCCGCGTCAAAGACATCCAACGCCCTCATCCTTCAGTGGTGCTTTCTTGAGGCTGCGACCGGTGATCCTTATCATCCCCTATCGCTTATCCACATATTCGCGGTCCCGGTATTCCGTTGTTCGTTTTGCTTCCGCGCCGAAACGTGTGGCGAGCGTCTCCTCAATTCTCATCCTTTCAAACAACAAAATCAGCTGTGCTGCCTCAGTATCCTGTGGGCCGGCGTTTCTAATTTTGTGTCGATGGCTGATGATCGACAGTAATCGACAAAGCCGTTCCGCTGTTCCTGCAGGACAGAACTCTCTTTGACGATTCGGACAATTCGTGAAGGCAAGCGAGGGAGAGGTGCCAGGCCTCTGGGAGCAGCCATAACTCTGTCAAACTCATGTCAGACGAGGTAGCTCCCGTCCTCCCGACCTGCTCATGTCGCCCCAACTTCCGATGCACCAAATTTGCCAGGTTGTCACGTCTCTTCACCTGCAAGCGATGGGATGGAGGGAATACAGGGGCTGCTATCCCTGCCACAATCGCTAAACGTCTTGTTGACATCACCGATGGCCATGGGATTCCCTGCCATCCACGCACGTTTTGCGGGGCGAGACAAACCGCCAACGTCTTGGCCCGCAGAACCAACAGGGAGTGCTTCCCTCCCTGATGTCATTAACCCACCAAACGTCTGTCGCAATCACGGCACAACGGCATCGCAGCGCCTAAACAGGCATGGCATTCTCACGGCGGACGGTCTAGGCTCTGCATTTGTTCGCCAGCCAGGCCTGGTGGAAGTATGGAAATCTCCCAAGAAAACCGGGTTGTGCATCTCGGCCCTTCCTCATCGCCAACGATTTCGAGCTATTGACTGCAGACATGAGAACACAGGCACACAGTCACCGCCCGGCCGCGTAGTACGCGTCAGACTGGAGCTGCTGCCCAGCCTTGGTACCATCGAACGGGAGGTGAACATGGATTTCAACTGACACAGGCGCAAAAGCTCCGGCTCGGTTGGTTCGACCTGGTCCACAAGGATGATGAAATCTGTGGAGGGCGATGAATCCGCCCGTTTCGGTGACCGATCTTTATGTTCCAATGTCTTTTAAGACGGCTGAACGCCCCCGCTGCGTTTCTCACGATGGTTCTGGTTACTAACGAATTATCTTAATTTTTGTCCGGTTGCTTTTAAAATGGCGCCGTTGCAGAGTCGTCTTCTAGCTGGCTTCGGCCTCATCTCTGCAGCATTCGCCGCCGACCCAGTCCTGTCCTTATCGTTGTCCGAAGATGTTCCCTCCGACATTTCCGCGACCGTCGACCCGTCGTTTGCCGGCTTCGG